AAGTCGTTATTTGGCCATGTGCTTCCTTTCATTTTTGAAATTTTCTCAATAGACATTTAGGCTGCACTCGTTTTCCTGCAAATTTAAAGTGCTTGAGTCTTGAGTTGCTGGCAAATGAATTATGAAAGAAAATGTTATTTGGATATTGCCAAAATAATATTTTTAAAGTTTAAAGATTTTTGAAAGAATAGCAAATTAGTCCTATTAGGGTGTTTTGGGCCAGCAGTGTCAGCGGTGATTGAAATAGTTCCAGGCCTGCTAATCGTGACTAAAGAGGAGTAACTTACACTGTGAAACTGGTATCGTTTATAATGGGGGTTATAGCGCTAAAAATTAGGTATAGAGTTTAATTTCAAAACATCGTTTGATAATTGATAATAATCATTTGAAAATTGCAAAATTAGTTAATTTTGATTACAATTATTTGCATATGAAGCGCGAATAATAATGGTGAATATTAAAAAAGGCACCTTACCGTGGTCGCAGTATTATTATCAATTCAAAATAGTAATTCCGCCATTGAGAAATATATCAAAAATCAGTAAATCACAGATTTGGAAATCTGTAAATCACATCCCAGATAATGCTGTACAAGTCTGCCAGAAGTACTAAATTTCCCCGAAGTCGGGCCTAGGCGGAAATGAATAATTGCAGGCGCCAATTAATCAATCCGCTCTGGTCACGCTCAAAATCCCACTCTAAATTTCCTCAGCAAATATGAGTAAACCGCCGTACTCTGTGATTATTTTAAACCACCACGGAAATTAGCTTGACAGATCCCCCGCGAATTTTAAGAAGTCAGACTTTCCACGCATGTACAGTCAGCACACCCGTAGCTGGTTTGAAATAGATTTATTTATCATGCGATTGCACTGAGGTCATATCGTAGTCGAATATCAGCTAACACGGCATGCAAAAAAAGATTGTTAATTTAACACGGTTAGACACGCAGTTTTTACTGACATGTTGAAAAATATCAATTATCAAACATTGGCAGGCTTTTAAATAATAAAATAAACAGAGTTATGGCTGTACCGATACATCACTTAGTCAATATGTTCGACATTTCTAAGACTTTCAAACTCATTCAAATTACGAAAATTTCAAAGATTAGATGCTGGTCTTACCGTGGGCAAAAGTTTTTTCCATTAAAATAGCTATTCTCATTCTGACAAATAAGTTACATAATGCATTGTAAATCGGTAAATAACACCTGAAGTAATATATCTTGGGATTTAAATCACAAATGAATTAAATGCTCATCTCCTGTTTTTAAGCACACATTGCTGAACACATTATAACCGTGCAGGTTATAGTATAATTTAAATCTTGAATATTTAAGATAATGCATTATTAATTTTAAAAGTGAAAGCCTTCAAATTGAATTTATTTAAACTCTCGGGACAATAAATATTCTATTACTTTAAAACATTAATTGTATGTGTGCTATTAAAAGGTGACTAGCCAATGATGAAATGTTATGTAATGCTAATGACATGTTAATTTATTATAATTCCTTATTGTTTATAAAACTGTTATAGACAGAAAGTTTATAAAACTGTTATAGACAGAAAGTAACTGCTTATAGCCTGTCTCGTGAACATGCCAATCGTATGATTAATCTATTAATTGTTTTATTTACCATTGTTTTATTTCTTATATTGTACATTATTACATCAATGCTTATTTATGTCAACACTTGATTTAGCCAAGTGATTAGAAGTAATTCCATATAAATATGTGATTGTACTTGATACGTCAGTCATTTAGGTCTATCTGACTTAGTAGCATAAGGTACTAGTCGGTTATCCGTGGTCCTGCAAGTGTATGTAGATAATTGTTATTATAAGTTTCCAGTATTAAAGATTTGAAGAACCATTCCAGACTCTTGTAATATCTGACGGGCCTCACAGTCACAACATGTACATTAACATGTATCAGTCGGATAATACCGTGATGACCTTTTCATTTCGGCACCAAAGAGTCTGAGTCAATGCATACTGTCAATCAAGTTTCCATATTACGTGAATTCACACGTGCCATCAAAAGGAATTGATAATTGACTATAATAGAAGCCCCTTTAACAACAAATTGTTACCATGTCGTAGTCTTGTAGACAATACTTTTATTCTGAATCGTCAGTAAATAATCAGTTGACCTCATTATTAAAGAACAATTACAATTGGGACTCAACCAATCTGGATTTTCACACAAAATAGGTGCCGTTGTCATGGCTAAATTATGAACAGGCTACGACGAATAGCACCTACCCCCCCCCCCACACACACACACCTCCTACAATTTACATCACGTATTACCAGTATGTTACAGAGGATTCTATTAATTTTATTTAAGATAAAACTCTATAGTCTATTATTAGGGTTGGGTTAGGGTTCATTAGTCCACCGATATTTATTATTAGGGTTAGGGCTGGGTTAGGATAGGGTTAGGGTTCATCAGTCCACCGATATCTATTATGAGGGTTAGGGTTAGGTTTATTGAAACCCACATATATGTGATATATAATAACAGCTGTTTGTGTTTTCCGTTTTATGTGAGACTGATAGTTGTCTTTTGTTTTATATTCAATTGATCGGCGATTGTTGAGACTGCGATTAACACTCGCTAGTTCTCTTATTTTGTTTCATCGGCGAGCATTGGTATATTCGGTATACCCGGCTGGAACATTTGAAAATTTGTGTATATTTAGTAATACTTTGTTGTTTTTCTTTTATCAAATAGTAAACGAGCTTGATTGACCGTGGACTGCTAATGTTATTTCATAAAACGGATTAATTGCAATCAACACGCGGCCGGCATTCTCAATGATTGACACCTCGCGGTTTTCCTGGTCCACCAAAGAACTGTAAGGTTTATTTGCACATAATATAATAAGATGCGAATTATCGGTTAATCAGCTTTGATCGTTGCTATTTCTAATATTTTCCACCAAAAAAAAACAAACTTGCTTTGTACGCACTTATTTATCGATTGGTACTGCCATCTACGAGAAGCTTGTCGAGGTATGCATCAACATGCAGCTTACAGGTTATTGTTAACAATTTCTAGGGTCTAGAGTGCATGCCGTGTAAATATTTACTTTTGTTTTTGTGTAGGTCATTTTCAAATAAATTCATAGGCATGTTATTCTTTTTTAACAAATATATTACTATACCAGAAACGATGATTATCAAAGAACCATAAGTGCAACTAACGGTTTATCGTTTGGTGGAGTCTTTTAATAACATGTTTCAAGTTAATAAATATTTTCCTTCGTCTCACGAGATTATCGCTGTGCATTTGTACATCGCGAGGTTGACTTCTGTAAACGTGTACTGGTGGAAAACTTAATTAATTCATTTGCAATTTAAAGAAGATACATTACCTGGGATGAGATTTACCGATTTCAAAATGTATAATAATTACCTGGGACGTGATTTACCGATTTTTTGATATATTTGTCAATGGCGGAATTACTATTTTGAATGGATAATGATAATGGATAATAATACTAGGACCACGGTAAGGTGCTTTTTTTTAAACATTCACCATTTTTATTCGCACTTCATATGCAAATAATCGTAATCAAAATGAACCGATCAGATAGACGGCTCATGGGAAAATAAACGATTCATCTAATAATTCAACATAGTAGATAAATTAAGCAGGTCTTATTTCTATACACATCTCGAGATAAGTTAACGGTCGGCCATTTCTAAACCCCTTTTGGAGAAATTAAACGCTGTACTATAACCGCTAGGTTCTTCAATAACTAATAAGTCTGGAACGGTTTTTAAAACTTTTAATTACTGGAACTTATATCTTACAAATGACAATAATTCAATACATACAATGTATACCTGCAGCACAGTGGATGACCGACGTAGCTGCTACTAAGTCAGGTGACCTAATGACTTGCCTATTGATGTACATTAGCCTTTTTATATTCTAACTATAATTGGATAAGCTCACGTGTTGACATCAAAACATATACTATACAGGATTATCACTAGAGACATTAACATAAATAAACAATAATGGATTAAATACTTAACTAATTAGCTTCTATCCTGATTTATATTAACCATGAGAATTCAAATACTATCTAAAACTGACTGGTCATTATGCTTGGTCATAGTACCATTAAGTTAAGCCATAGTACTAATTAAACCATGTTTGTAATTTTCAAACGATGTTTTGAAATTAAACTATATACCTAGTTTTTAGCGCTATAACCCCCATTATAAACGATACAAGTTTCACAGTGTTATGCCCTTGGCAACCAAGATGACTTTGAAAGTTTTGTTGTATCATTGGTGAGTTCTTAGCCATTATTATTTTAATTGCAGACCATTATTACAATTGTGTAGCTAGTTCTTGTTCAGAAAATTGCAGTTCCTGCTTACATTCTCAAAAATACCCTATAAAAACGTGATTTATGTACAATCAAGGGCCATAATTCAGAAAGTTATGATCTAAAATGCCCGAATATCAAAAAGAACCACGATTTTTGGGTTATAACCCTGCATTTCAAGTTTCATCAAAATCGGATGAAAATTGTGACCTCTTAGAGTGTCCACAAATTAAAAAGGTGATTTTTCGTACGATAAGGGGCCATAATCCTATGGTCCGATACATGCCAATTTCGAAAGGAACCGAGATCTTTGGGAGATAGACCTATAATACTATATTTCAAGTGTCGTCAAAATCAGATAAAAATTGTGACCACAAACAAACAGGGATGTCGACAAAGTACACTGTAATACTTATACACATTAATTCGCCTTGATAATTTAGAAGTAGTTTATTGTCCATTCGACCACACTTTTCGACCAATCAGAATCAAGGAAATTTCTGATTTGTATACTACACTATGTCATAACTTGATGTCATTAATTCTTCATTCCTGAAGAAATTATGTTTATTAGTGTACATCACATGGAAATGTAGGCGTATAAAAACTTGTGGGATGAAAAGCTAACGGTAACCAAATTTCTTACCTGAAGCGACTGGTTGCTGTTGGATGGTGAATGGGTCCATAAAATCGTCTTGTTGGTGATAAATATGTTGCCAAAGCTAGAGGAGCCATGGCTGCCATGTTCTTATTTGAACTAGGGGAGTTAGCAAATTTAACAGTTACAGGTTCTGTGGCACCTTCTGGTATGTAACCATTTAGTTTTTGAATAGCACGCTCAGCTTCTATCCTTGTGTCAAAGCGAATGAAACCAACTCCTTTTGACAAACCTGCAAGAAAAGTTATATTTTATGTTTTAATTTTACTCATAAAACACGATTTCCTCAACAAAATAACTACTCTACAAAATTACACATTACCAATTTCACATTATAGATCTCATTTTATCTTCTACACCAGATTACAAGTAATTACTTAGAATTAGATACATATCAAACAGCTTTAATATCTATATCAGTGATGGGATTTCAAAAAATTTCATGTCGGACATTTTTTCCCGAAAATAAAGGGGCATAACTCTTACCGTAATTTAAGCAGACGTTTTCAAAACACAATTAAGAATCACGTGTCAACTAAATATATTCAAATTCATATGTAAAAAAAAATAGGTGCACCTCGTTATATTTCATGTTTAAAACCCGTACGGTATTCAAATTTATGTCAATAATATTCCTACAAAATTACATGACATCGTAATACTATAGAATTGGCAGCGTGCCGACTGCTGCCGGTTTGTTTCAAACTCCCCCAAAAGTACCGTATTTTTTGGGTCAAAATAGAATCTTTCCTCGGACATCAGGCGTATTGAATTCAGCACGTATACATCTCTTAATTTCACGTGTCTCGCGAGATTTATACTTTCATTTTAATTACTGAACTCTATAAGCGCCATGTGTGTGAAATATCTTTATTTAACTTCGGCTTCCACCGAAAATATATCACAGACAAGCTATCGGTTACAATGTATGTTGATTTGAGGTGTTATATACTATCAGGATATGTGACATCTATGACTAATTTCTACGTGTTATTGTCCGACACAAAGGAGATTAAAACGTGAGACAATGGTCTGGAGAAATCACGTGTTAATCAGATTAAGTTTATAATCACTCTTATTGGATTGATATATCGTCCGACAAAGGAGAAGCAATGACTTCTGTTCAGGATTGATTTGATGAATTGTCCGATAAAGAATTAAGTCAGCCAATCAAGGCAGAATAGTAGTTAATCAAGGTAGGTGTGTAAGACGATATAACACGATAAATAGTCGATCACTTAATTACCTAACCAATCCAGCCTATTATCAACGATAATCGAGTTGCACGGTAGTTATACACTCAGTACACTATGTTAATTTTGGAATTTGAATATTATTCACCATGTCTTGATGTCCGATTGGGCATATTCCCAGTCGGACAATTTTGGGCGTTTCGAAAAAAGGTTCGGACAAGTCCAGAATATACAGCTAAAATCCCATCACTGATCTATATAGCCTATAGTAAAAAAAAAAAATTTCAAAATTCTTATGCATTGTTTTTACTTTAGTAACTTGACAGCAAGAAGTGAGACATTAACAATAAAACATGCATAAACATCAACAAAGCTCTTATCTTATATTAAGACAGGTTGCCAGGCAATGCAACATACGCCCACAACAGTAAAATTGTTTGGGCAGTCAACAAGTGTTGTCGCATATTTTTTTCTTTTGTCAGTGAGACCATTTACAACACATGAAAATCTGAATACGAGTAATAACCCATGAAGTAATTATCATAAAACAATAGAATTGTGTCATGACCTTGAACAATTTATGTTAACTTTAGCCTCTAGAGCGTCCACAAGATTTTTCCAAGTGATCAAAGGCCTTAAATATGGCAGTAATTATCGGAAATTGTTGAAAATGAATAGGATTCTTTGTCTCGTGACTTTAAACACTGTGTATAAGTTTAAAGTCAATCAAATATTAACTCAAGCCTCAATAGCTCCTACAAGATTTTTCAAAGAGGTCAAGGGCTATAACTCCGGCAGTAGGCTTCTTCATCTTAAACAGTGCGTATAAATTTAAAGTCAATAAGATATTAACTTTAGCCACTAATGTGTCCACAATATAATTCAAAGTGATCAAGGGCCATAACTCTAGCAGTAATTATCGGAAATTGTTGAAAATCAATAGACTTCTGCATCTCATCATCATGACCTAAAACACTGCGTATAATTCTAATGTCAGTCGGATATTAACTTTAGCCTCTAGAGCAGTCAAACTTTTTTTGGCAACGGCACACCTTGGAACACATGAACAAATAGCGGCACACCTGGCTAAATATATATGAAAAATATTTGAATTTTGCAAAATAAAAACATGGTAAGTCAGACGGCATACACCCGTAGACAGAGACTAGTCATAGACACACAGAATGACTCAAACTAAATAAAGAAAGACACAGCTATGAACGTACCAGTAGACACCAGTGAAGGATCAAGTGGCTTTTTGCATTTTCTTAGTGTGCCGTTCAAAATTTCGCGGCACCCTGGTTGATAATCACAGGGCTAGATCGTAACCTGGAGGCAATCAGAGATCTGGGTAGAGATATTGCTTTAGGCACTGAAACCTTGCTCACATTCCAAGACAATTCTTTTTAGATGAAACTATTAAAGTTTTGATTTACAATATTCTTTGAAAACCTTACTAGGAAGCCACATTGGCTAAGTTAGCAAGACGCTGGCTTGCTAACCTAGAGGTCGCGGGTTCGCTCCCGGTGTTGCTCGAGAAAGTTCATCAGGGGGATTTTCTGGCGTGGTTTCCCCCTTGTCAGTGGTCTAGTCATACGGATGGTAAGAAAAACTGAGGTCCCGTGTACACATCGGCAGGGACGTAAAAGATCCCTTGGCAGTTGGAATTTGATATAAGACTAGGCCGTAGCGCCGCTGTCCGGGCAAAATGTTGCTCATAGCACACTTTATGGTGCATGCTTGTCTTCATTGGCCCAATCAGAGCAAAACAGTAGGACGTTAAACAGCATTCCATTTCATTTTGAGTTACAGATTTCAGTTTTCTTAACTGATTTTGATGAATCCACTGTGACTCATTATGTAGGGTGTTGGCTCATTAACAAGGACGTGCCGGGTTCGATCCAAGTGTTGGTCTACAAATTACCTGGAGATTTGGTTTCCCCCTTGTCAATGAGGCATGGCAAGGAACAGTCAATATTTATTCGGATGGGAGAGAGAGAGAGAGAGATGGGGTTTAATGTCCACTCGACACAAACTAGGTCATTTTGGGAATAACATATGGTTCAATTTTATTTCAATAAATCGCTTGCACGTATGGGTCTTTAGGAGTGGGAGGAAACCGAAGGACCCGGAAAAACCGGCGACCCTACTCCTTGTCACGTACAACAGGGGAATCGAAAGGACGTCAGTTGACTCAATGACAGACCTAATGATACTGCGTGCACGTGCTAACCATTCGGTCATCCATCCACCCAAGAAATATTGATTGTTTCGTTCAACAAAACCAAATTGCATTGTCATCGAATAAATATTTACCATATTGTATTTTATGAACTTTAATTTTAATATATCACGAGAGAGTCTTTCAATTCACCCTCAATGAATAACAAAATAAACAGTGTTAATGTTAACGCTAAAGGAAAAAAAAGATTCTAAAGTGCCCATAATTAAATCATCCATGGATTAGTATATAGCTATATTTGTTGGGTTATTTATCAAATGTTATCGTGGATGACACAATGTATTTATGTAAACAAAGCTTCACAAACAAAATGAATTGAAGCAATGATTCACAACCTTTTTTTGGCAATGGCACACCTTGGAACACATGAAAAATTAGCAGCACACCTGGCTAAATATATATAAAAAATATCTGAATTTTGCAAAATTAAAATATTATGGCATGTCATAGACAGTATATAACCGTAGACACAGACTAGTCATAGAAACATAGAATGACTAAATATAGAAAAACACAGCTATGAACGTACCAGTAGACACCAGTGAATACTCAATTGAAATCAAGTGGCTTTTTGCATTTTCTTAGTGTGCCGTTCAAAATTTTGTGGCACACTTAAGAACATCTCACGGCACACTGCTGCATATTGGTTGAGAATCACTGCTCTAGAGCATCAACAACAAATTTCACGATATGGTAGTAACTGTCAGAAATCGCTGAAAATCAATAGGATTCTTCATCTTGTGACCTTAAACACTGTGTATTAAATTTAAAGTCAATTGGATATTAACTTTAGCCTCCAGAGCGTCCACAAGCTGGCCGGACGGGGGCGACGACAGTATACGACCACATTTCAATGTGGGCGTATAAAAAAAGAATACTAATAGCTAACACAAAAGATCTAATGTACAGAAAATTGTTACCTTACATAAGAAAACAATGTAGGCCTACAATTTCAGAGACAAGTACACATAAATTTTTTTATACCCAAGTGAAGTATAACAAGCCAACAGTGAGGCTGATGTCCCCCACCTAAATCTCAAAATAAATAGAAGACACAAGTAATTACAAGTAATAGCACATTTATTTTTTTCAAAAGTATCAAGCAATCATTATCAACTATACACTGAGTTTCATCACTCTCTAACAGATAGAATCAAAGTTATCTTGTCCCAAAGCATCAACCAATGAAATTGCTTAGCTTTAGCTCGAAATGTTAATCATTGAACTCAGTCAAGACATTCACCTAATGAACATCTACATCAAGTTCAAACATTCTACCTCAATTAAATGTTCCTATTATTAATTAGAACAGGTTTTGCTTTAGTTTTTATATTTTACGCCAACAATTATTACTTTAAATCTTCCTAGTGCTATAACGGAAAATGTGACCTTTTGACCTCTGGGGTCACAAAGAACAAAGGTGAATTTAGCAAGTTTACATTTTTATTGAAAGTGTGATTACTTTCGATCATTTTCAGCTTAATTTCATGATACAAGAATGACCGCACATTCACTTTCAGTGCAAATGAACCCATTTGACCCTTGACTCCGAATATCTCGAAAACGCCCCAACGGCGGACTGATTACCACTCAGCATCATATTCTACGCAAAATTTTACTCTAGAAAAGTTGGGTCTGGTTTTGTGCCCATTTGATGGATGTGTTCTAAAGTCTAGATCAATCAAATTGCTTATCGCTCTGCTTACCCTGAGCAGAAAATGCTCATTATCGAACTTAGTCAAGGTATTGATATAAATAAAATAAAACCAAGTACGAACAATCCAAACCATAAGACAG